TCCCTTCTTGTGTAATCCCTTACAAAGCTCATGCTGGGTACTATATTTCTGAATAATTACTTATATAATGTTTCAAAAGCAGAATGGATAAGGAATGGAGCATTAAAAGATGTTTGAATATAGTCCATGTTTCATGTTGGAAACCATGTTGTTTTTTTCCTGGTATGTAGAAATGGTGTTCAGCCTAAACTAAGAACTTGAGCTTGAAAGACCCAGCCACGTTTCATCTTCAATGCCCTTGCTGATGGAAGGAGGTTTTCACTCAAAATCTCACGATACATGGCCCCATTCATTCTTTCCTTTACACGGATCAGTCGTCCTGGTCCCTTTGCAGAAAAACAGCCCCAAAGCATGATGTTTCCACCCCCATGCTTCACAGTAGGTATGGTGTTCTTTGGATGCAACTCAGCATTGTTTGTCCTCCAAACACGACGAGTTGAGTTTTTACCAAAAAGTTCTATTTTGGTTTCATCTGACCATATGACATTCTCCCAATCCTCTTCTGGATCATCCAAATGCACTCTAGCAAACTTCAGATGGGACTAGACATGTACTGGCTTAAGCAGGGGGACATGTCTGGCACTGCAGGATTTGAGTCCCTGGCGGCGTAGTGTGTTACTGATGGTAGGCTTTGTTACTTTGGTCCCAGCTCTCTGCAGGTCATTCACTAGGTCCCCCCGTGTGGTTCTGGGATTTTTGCTCACCGTTCTTGTCATCATTTTGACCCCACGGGGTGAGATATTGCGTGGAGCCCCAGATCGAGGGAGATTATCAGTGGTCTTGTATGTCTTCCATTTCCTAATAATTGCTCCCACAGTTGATTTCTTCAAACCAAGCTGCTTACCTATTGCAGATTCAGTCTTCCCAGCCTGGTGCAGGTCTACAATTTTGTTTCTGGTGTCCTTTGACAGCTCTTTGGTCTTGGCCATAGTGGAGTTGGGAGTGTGACTGTTTGAGGTTGTGGACAGGTGTCTTTTATACTGATAACAAGTTCAAACAGGTGCCATTAATACAGGTAACGAGTGGAGGACAGAGGAGCCTCTTAAAGAAGAAGTTACAGGTCTGTGAGAGCCAGAAAGCCTTGTTTGTAGGTGACCAAATACTTATTTTTCACCATAATTTGCAAATAAATTCATAATAAATCCTACAATGTGATTTTCTGTATTTTTTTTTCTCAATTTGTCTGTCATAGTTGACGTGTACCTATGATGAAAGTTACAGGCCTCTCTCATCTTTTTAAGTGGGAGAACTTGCACAATTGGTGGCTGACTACATACTTTTTTCCCCCACTGTATCACTGAAAAACTGAAATGGTCCACCCACACAGACAGTGTGGTGAAGAAGGCGCAACAGTGTCTATTCAATCTCAGGAATCTGAAGAAATTTGGCCTGTCACCTAAAACCCTCACAAACCTTTACAGATGCACAATTGAGAGCATCCTGTCGGGCTCTATCACCGCCTGGTACGGCAACTGCACCGCCCACAACCGCAGGGCTCTCCAGAGGGTGGTGCGGTCTGCACAACGCATCACCGGGGGCAAACTACCTGCCCTCCAGGACACCTACAGTACCCGATGTCACAGGAAAGCCAAAAAGATAATCAAAGACAAATACCACCCGAGCCACTGTTCACCCCGCTATCATCCAGAAGGCGAGGTCAGTACAGGTGCATCAAAGCTTGGACCGAGAGACTGAAAAACAGCTTCTATCTCAAGGCCATCAGACTGTTAAACAGCCATCACTAGCACAGAGAGGCTGCTGCCTACATACAGACTTGAAAATCACTGGCCACTTCAATAAATGGAACACTAGTAACTTTAATAATGCCACTTTAAGAATGTTTATATATCTTGCATTACCCATCTCATATGTATTTACTGTATTCTATACTATCTATTGCATCTTAGCCTATGCCACTCTGATAATGACATTGCTCATCCATATATTTATATATTATTGTTCCATTCCTTTACTTAGATTGTGTATATTAGGTTGTTGTTGCGGAACTATTAGATATTGCTTGCTAGATATAGCTGCACTGTCGGAACTAGAAGCACAAGCATTTCGCTACACTCGCAATAACATCTGCTAACCATGCATATGTGACCAATACATTTGATTTGATTTGATTTGAATTAGTTATCATTGACATGACAGAATTTCAATGCAATTTTTTTGCTAGCTTTTTTGGATTAGCACTCTAGCTAGCTAGTTATCTAACCTTTGAACTCAAGTACTGTCTCTAGCTAGGTAGCTGGTGAGTTACCTAGCTAGCATCCTTTGTCAGCACACTAGTGGTTCATATTTTAAGACTAACTTATTATCTAGCTAGCTTGTGTATTAGCAAAAATTGTGATAACTAGCTAACCCCTTTAATCTGTGGTAGCTAGCTATTTATGTCAGCAAATAATGTAACACTAGCTATTATTATTATGATTATTATTATCAACAAATACTACATGGACTAAAGTATGTGGACACCTGCTCGTCGAACATCTCATTCCAATATCATCATCTGCTATAACAGCCTCCACTCTTCTGGGAAGGCTTTCCACTAGATGTTGGAACATTACTGCAGGGACTTGCTTCCATTCAGCCACAAGAGCATTATTGAGGTCGGGCACTGATGTTGGGCGTTTAGGCCTGTCTCGCAGTCGGCGTTCCAATTCATTCCAAAGGTTTTCAATGGGGTTGAGGTCAGGTCTCTGTGCATGCCAGTCAAGTTCTTCCACACTGATCTCAACAAACCATTTCTGTATGGACCTTGTTTGTGCACGGGGGCATTGTCATGCTGAAACAGGAAAGGGCCTACCCCAAACTGTTGCCACAAAGTTGGAAGCACAGAATCATCTAGAATGTAATTGTATGCTGTAGCGTTAAAGATTTCCCTTCACTGGAACTAAGGTGCCTAGCCCGAATAATGAATAACAGCCCCTGACCATTATTCCTCCTCCACCAAACTGTACAGTTAGCTGTATGCATTCGGGCAGGTAGCGTTCTCCTGGTATCCGCCAAACCCAGATTGGTCCGTCGGACTGCCTGATGGTGAAGCATGATTCATCACTCCAAAGAACACGTTTCCGCCGCTCCAGAGTCCAATTGTGGCGAGCTTTACAACACTCCAGCCGACGCTTGGCATTGCGCATGGTGATCTTTGGCTTGTGTACGGCTGCTCGGCCATGGAAACCCATTTCATTAAGCTCCCGATGAACAGTTATTGTGCTGATGTTGCTTCCAGAGGCAGTTTAGAACTCGGTAGTGAGTGTTGCAACCGAGGACAGACGATTTTTATGCGTTACGCTCTTCAGCACTCAGCAGCCCTGCTCTGTGAGCTTGTGTATCCTACCACTTCGCGGCTGAGCCTTGTTGGTCCTAGACGTTTCCACTTCACAATAACAGCACTTACAGTTGATCGGGGCAGCTCTAGCAGGGCACAAATTTGACTAACTGACTTGTTGGAAAGGTGGCATCCTATGACGGTGCCACTTTGAAAGTCACTGAGCTCTTCAGTACGGGCCATTCCACTGTCAATGTTTGTCTATGGAGATTGCATGGCTGTGTGCTTCATTTTATACACCTGTCAGCAACGGGTGTGGCTGAAATAGCCACATCCACTAATTTGAAGGGCTGTCCACATACATTTGGCCATGTAGTGTAATTAGCTAAGCCTAAATGGTAGGAATCATGATAATAGTAGAATTATGTGGAGCTAGAGTGTCTATGCTAAATTGTCATAAATTCCTCTTCTCTCCCACAGATTCCCATAAGGTCTCAGACTCCAGGATGGGAAATGTTTAAGAAATAAACAGATGAAGACACAGAAAGGGACCATGAGACCCTATGTTGTATTTTAAATAGTTAATATGTTGTCAATTTCTACTCTGACTTGTAATGTTAAACAGGGGAGAAAAAGACATCCCCTGTTTATCTGAATTACCTCGGCTACTCACTATACCAATGATAGGCTACAGATTTGAGTCACTGGAATTTAAAATGTTTTCCCAATGTATCCTTCTCTTAAATTACATTTTGATCTTACTATGTATTGCATTTTTGAGGAGATGATATGCTGTTATAAATGTTTGCAATTTATAAATATTGGTAGGCCTAACTCATTAATAAATGGTCAGTAGGTTTCCACTTTCTTTAAAGGTATCTTTTCAGCAGTTATAAATGTTGGTAACTCATTTGTTAATGGTCAGTGGATTGAAACTTTAAATTAGGTATCATTTTCGCAGTTATAAACTTTGATAACTCAGTTATAAATGTTCATAGGTCTGTCACTTTACAATAAGGTATACTTTTAGCATTTATATATATGGGTAAATCATTTATAGATGATTTGAGAGATCACTCTGAGCTTAGACATACCTATAGGCAGTATTGGGTACTCATCACTACATACATGAAAGATGATTTAACACTTTGTTAAACAAGTTCAGTCAATGAATGGTACTGTAGGTATCAAGACCAACACATTCAACATTATGAGAGGATACCTCATCCACTGTTCACCAACCAAAGGCAGAGGTGGGACAAAGTCATTGTTATGCAAGTCACAAGTAAGTCTCAAGTCTTTGCCCTCGAGTCCCGAGTCAAGTCGAGTCAAAGATGAGGCAAGTCCCAAGTCGAGTCAAAAGTCAAAGCCATCAAGTCTCAAGTCGAGTCCAAAGTCCTACCATTTTAGTTTCGAGTCATTTCAAGTCCTCTTACCACAGAAATAAAATGTATACAAATCATGTATGTCTGTAAGATTTGTATTTATTTAAACCTTTTTATACAATAACATTAATCAAATACAGCAAAAAACATAACATTTAATTTTCACAAAAAAAATGCTTGTATTTGAACAGCATATTGCACTAGAACAATGCAGAGAGAGAGAGAGAGAGAGAGAGAGAGAGAGAGAGAGAGAGAGAGAGAGAGAGAGATAGAGATAGAGAGAGAGAGAGAGAGAGAGAGAGAGAGATAGAGAGAGAGAGAGAGAGAGAGAGAGAGAGATAGAGAGAGAGAGAGAGAGAGAATGGTTTACGGGAAGGACAAACACCAAAGCTCTGGAAGTAAAAACAGTGTGGGAACCTGCACTGCAAATGAACAGAACTTACTCCATGTGAAACTCCTACCACAGGAGAGAGAGAGCTGTGTGGACAGGTGATGAGCAGAGAGTGAGTGTGTGTGCGCGCATGCGTGCTGTGGACAGGTGGAGGGAGGCCCCTATACTGCATTGCATTTGCAAAAGATCAAATTGGCCAAAAGTCTGTCAGTCATTTGTGCACGATGGGGACGCAGAATGATGCCACCATGGCTGAAAACTCGCTCCACTGGAGCACTAGAAGCAGGCACTGCCAAGACTCGGATGGCTACTTGAAAGAGTGAAGGAAGAGTCTTACTGTTCAGTGCCCAGAACAAAAGGGCATTCTGTCCTTCTGCCATGTCAATGTAGTGACTTAGCTGTACTGCTGGTGGGGTCCCAACATCCCTTTTCTGCCTCTTATGGTATGCAGCAAACAGCCCTTCTCCTTCCATGTCCTCTAGTTCTTCTTCAGCAGGCACCGGCACAGGCTGCTCTGTCTCTGCAGCATCTTGCAGGATCAATTCTAAAAATAAAAATAAAAACGTGTCACAACAGCAGAAACAAAAGAGCCCTTATTTCTGATGTTGATGATACTGTTCAAGACTGAAATTTTTTATTATTGTTAAAGTCAGATTAATATCACATTAGATCCTATATCAGATTAAGATCAAATTATTGTACGTTGCATTTAAGTTGCATTGCAAGTCAATAATATTTACCTTTAACTCGTTGTGCCACCTCTGCCTTGATGTCACGGTTGACCAGCACATGGGGCTCAATCCACAGCAGACAAAAGGCTGGATCCAAGGCAGCTGCTTTCAGGTAGACTGTGTCTGAAAAGGGGGCAGTGATCCCTTCTTGAGACTGGCCCATTTTTACATTAATGAAGATCCCAAGAAATCTTTTTTTCAGGGATGCCTGCAGACCTCTGACCAGGCCACTCAGGAAACGAACTTGAGGCTTCAGCTTCTCAAGATGGTGATTGAGGGACAAGATGGATGGAACAACTGCACTGATTGTAATGACTTTCTCCCCCTGTGTCAAATCAGTTGCTTCTCCGAACGGTTTTAAGATGTCCACCAACTCCTTCAGCAGATTCCACTCTCGTGGTGTGAATGACAGTTCTTTATGCCCGGCCTTCTCAAGAACTGCGCAGAGCTTTTGCTGATCACAATGAAGGACTGCTTTTACCTGCCGCAGTGTGGAATTCCACCTCGTGCTCACTGCAGCAGGGATGCCTCTGTGCTCCCCAAATTCACCATCGAAGATGTCTTTAAACGTTGTGCTTGTGTGGAGCAGGGAGCTAAGTTTTGATAACTTGGAGAGAGAAGGACATGCCGCTTTTGTTTCTTTCAAACCGTCTCCCACAACCAGCTGCAATGTGTGTGCAAAACACTGCAGGCGCTGTTTCTTTGCCATAGCAGCATCGACGGTTTGCTGGTCTTCTTGGGTTAAGTCATGCCATAGCTCAGGATCATCAAGATTATCTCCAGCATCTTCATCTTCCTCCTGTTCGCTGGGGAAGCAGACTGTAAATGCCTTGCGCATGTTAGCAGCATTGTCACTAATTATATAGTCCAATTTAGCTTTGATGTTGTATTCATCACATATTGCCTCAAATTGGTCACAGATTCGCTCTGCTGTGTGAGAGCCTTTGAAGCGGTTGCAGGCCAAGAGATTAGTCTTTAGCTGTACCCTCTCTGCATCTCGCTCCATCCAGTGCACAGTGACACCAAGGAATCCCCTCATCTTTCGATCAGACCAAATGTCCACAGTGACTGAAACATGGTCAGTGTTGCTCAATTGAGTTTTTAACTTTGACCGTCTCTCCTCAGCAAGGCTCTCTGTTTTTGTGGTCAGCGTTCGGCGACATACTGGGGTATACTTGCTGTCCAGCACAGCCAGAAAGTGACGAAAGCTCTTATTTTCCACAATAGACAGAGGGAAATTGCAATCAATAATCAAGTCAGACAGTATCGCATTGGAGATGGCCTTCTGCTGTGGGTGGGTCAGGCTGTAACGCCCTACACGAGTGTCAAGGAATTGTGAGATTGAAGGCTGTTGTGGTTCATCTACGATGATTTTGTTCATCTGGTATTCTTCATACCTGTAACAGAGAAGAATATGAAACAGATGTCAGAAAATCCTTTACAGCCACACATGTTGTATTTGAAACTACTCTTTACTCATATCAATGTTGTTGTGTTAATATTCATTGCCTATTGTACACTACGGTTTACGATAATACATTTCAGTGTCAGTGTATGCAATATTAAGAATATTTTCACTGCTTCAAAATTCATAAGAAAGCCCTTTCCCTCAAGAAACTGAAGTCATATGCTTTATAGCAGTGGTTTTCAAAGTGGGGACGGGGACCCTTGGGTGCCGCGAGGGGGTTCTAGGGGGGCCATGGCAAGTTGGCATGAAAAGTATAGAAAAACAAAATAATTGAATAAATTAAATAACTAAAGTAAACCAAATTAAACCAAAAATAAGCTAAACAATATTCCCATTAGTTAAGAACTGCACTATAATAATCTATTGCATCTCTGAACATTACTACTATAATCGTTATTATTTTATTATATACTGTATATATCCCAGTGGTGCGCTGCCTCACAGACCTACTGTAGACTACGGTAGCACTCTGTCCATGCGCTGTCTGCTGTTTGGGCATGATATGAAAAGGGAAGGCTAATGGTGGATCTACTGTGACTGTGTTATCATTTTCCTCTTTACAATGTATACGTCTTACTATGTTTCCTGTTGTACTTGGATGGGTTTAGGGATGCACCAACTACATCCGAGTTGTGAAAGGGGGTGCATTCATTGTTTAATTGTGATATTTTGTCTTCAGCGACAGTTCAGCTTAGTTGTGATTAACCAAAATTACATAAACGACCTCAATGAGGCAGCACACCAGCAACTCTGAAACTGAATTCTAAAACGCTTAACGTGAAAAACGCTTAACGTTGCTTAATGCTTAATATACTAAGACAGTAATATTATAAGACCAAACTCTGCAAATATCATATTAATAAAGCATACTATGTACAAAACATCAGATGAGCCCAGAATACATAGTAGCCTACATAAGACATGTTAAGCCTTTTCTTATAATGGTTTTCTATGGGAGGAAAACACTTAACGTGTTGTTAAACGTATTTGCGTTCATATTCTGGCCTCATCTGATGTTTTGTACATTTAGTATACTTTATTAATATGATATTTATAGTTTGGTCTTTTAATATTACTGTCTCAGTATATTAAGACACGTTAAGCCTTTTCTTATAATAGTTTTCTATGGGAGGAAAACGCAACGTGTTATTAAACGTGTTTGCGTTCATATTCTGGGCTCATCTGATGTTTTGTACATAGTATACTTTATTAATATGATATTTACAGAGTTTGGTCTTTTAATAACACTGTCTTAGTACATTAAAGAACGTTAAGCGTTTTTCACGAAAGCGTTTTAGAATGTCCATATAATAGCAGTTCAAAAATCCATATTTTTGTAAGCATTAACCAGCAAGGGAGACGTGCGTTTGTCTCGTTGATACAGTAAATATGCAGCAGCTAGCTAGTAAGTTACGGTACATCCGATAAGGTGCGTAGCATTCGTTCAAAACTTACCTTTCTTTGTGCAACTTCAGGTGTCGAACAAAGTTGGACGTTGTGGCAGCTCCGTCTGTAATCTTCGATCCGCATGTTTTGCAGATTGCAACTCGTTTTTTGTCGACTACCTCGTAATTTTTATAGCCAAACCAAACTATCTTCGGTATCATTTTGACAACTGGCGCGTTGTTGCTTGATGTGCTTCATTGGTTGTCTTGCAATGTGCCTGCTTAGATGCTGTCGAATCAAAACAACGTGGGACTACAGTGATTGGATAACGTGCAGGCAGCGCGCGCTCTCTGTATGCATACAGGTGGATGGTGCACATTTTTTTCACAGATGCAGATAAACGGAGAGCGGCGCGGCCGTGTGAAATTTTTTTCCCCAGTTTTCATGGGAAGTAGCAAGTCTTCTCGAGTCATAAGGCGCAAGTCCAAGTGAAGTCACGAGTCATTGATGTTAAAGTCCAAGTCGAGTTGCAAGTCTTTGTACATTTTGTCGAGTCGAGTCTGAAGTCATCAAATTCATGACTCGAGTCTGACTCGAGTCCAAGTCACATGACTCGAGTCCACACCTCTGACCAAAGGTATTACGGTTACCATTTCACACCAGAGCATTCTATCACAAAGAAGTGGTAAGTGTGTTGATATAATCTGGTATGGGCTAATATGTTAGGAATAATGATTGCATAATGTCCTGGATGTAAATTTGGGCAGGGCATCAGGGATTCAAAGGTGCGTCAAGCAATGTCCCCTTTGCTGAGCACAAACTTGAACGTTGTTGGGAAAATTCAGTACAACTTCCGGCGCGCGTTTGCTGTGAACACTGAGGCTGTACCCAGTTTTAACAGTGGCCAAGTAGGCTACTGTGGCTATTTGATCATAATCTAGGCCTACCAGAGTGGCCTGCCATGAAAAACAATGGAGAAAATGCATCCCATATCATTTTAACATGGCGATAGCTGTTCTATTGTTCAGCCTACAGTAGCCGCCAATATGTGGTGTTCAACGTAGGCCTACCTTCCATGAGACTTTTGAAAAAAACATGCAGGGCTTGACATTAACCTGTTTATTCACTTGTCCTTCAGACAAGGATGTGACTGAAAATGTTGCTGTGTTGTTTGATGTAAGAAACCACTTTACAAAATAAAATGTATCATTATTCCCATACTATTATTATAGAAAATCAGATATGATGCTACCCTCTGCCTATTGGCTACTTAGCTTATTCAAGCCTGTCTCAAAATACAATACTGCCCCTTTAAGGCAAAGAAAAGTTATTTACCTGACTCTCTTTTCAAAGCTCTTGTAGGAAGCAATCACTCCCCCATTGCTGACTACAAACTATCTATAAATGGGCTAATAACTCACTAACTAACAAAGGATATGAACAAATGTACAAATGTGCACAGATCCCTACATGTAGCTCTCACTTCGATCTCAAAACAAGCGCATCGACTCACGACCGCTCATGCTGTAAAAACAGTTCAGTTCAAAGTGAATGGCACAGATCCATATATGGCATTGGTCTATTTGCATATAGGCCTACTGCAGCTCTGGTTGGTTATGGTGCACTGGACTGTGTAGAGTATGGGCCTGTCACTGCAATAGAATCCTACTCTGATGCCTTCTGCCTACAACAAAATATTTTGCGTAGTTGGTTTTGCATACTATAGTGGGGGAATAAAGTATTTAGTCAGCCACCAATTGTGCAAGTTCTCCCACTTAAAAAGAAGAGAGAGGCCTGTAATTTTCATCATAGGTACACGTCAACTATGACAGACAAATTGAGAAAAAATAATCCAGAAAATCACATTGTAGGATTTTTTATGAATTTATTTGCAAATTATGGTGGAAAATAAGTATTTGGTCACCTACAAACAAGCAAGATTTCTGACTCTCACAGACCTGTAACTTCTTCTTTAAGAGGCTCCTCTGTCCTCCACTCGTTACCTGTATTAATGGCACCTGTTTGAACTTGTTATCAGTATAAAAGACACCTGTCCACAACCTCAAACAGTCACACTCCAAACTCCACTATGGCCAAGAGCTGTCAAAGGACACCAGAAACAAAATTGTAGACCTGCACCAGGCTGGGAAGACTGAATCTGCAATAGGTAAGCAGCTTGGTTTGAAGAAATCAACTGTGGGAGCAATTATTAGGAAATGGAAGACATACAAGACCACTGATAATCTCCCTCGATCTGGGGCTCCACGCAAGATCTCACCCCGTGGGGTCAAAATGATCACAAGAACGGTGAACAAAAATCCCAGAACCACACAGGGGGACCTAGTGAATGACCTGCAGAGAGCTGGGACCAAAGTAACAAAGCCTACCATCAGTAACACACTACGCCGCCAGGGACTCAAATCCTGCAGTGCCAGACGTGTCCCCCTGCTTAAGCCAGTACATGTCTAGGCCCGTCTGAAGTTTGCTAGAGTGCATTTGGATGATCCAGAAGAGGATTGGGAGAATGTCATATGGTCAGATGAAACCAAAATATAACTTTTTGGTAAAAACTCAACTCGTCGTGTTTGGAGGACAAAGAATGCTGAGTTGCATCCAAAGAACACCATACCTACTGTGAAGCATGGGGGTGGAAATATCATGCTTTGGGGCTGTTTTTCTGCAAAGGGACCAGGACGACTGATCCGTGTAAAGGAAAGAATGAATGGGGCCATGTATCGTGAGATTTTGAGTGAAAACCTCCTTCCATCAGCAAGGGCATTGAAGATGAAACGTGGCTGGGTCTTTCAGCATGACAATGATCCCAAACACACCGCCTGGGCAACGAAGGAGTGGCTTCGTAAGAAGCATTTCAAGGTCCTGGAGTGGCCTAGCCAGTCTCCAGATCTCAACCCCTTAGAAAATCTTTGGAGGGAGTTGAAAGTCCGTGTTGCCCAGCGACAGCCCCAAAACATCACTGCTCTAGAGGAGATCTGCATGGAGGAATGGGTCAAAATACCAGCAACAGTGTGTGAAAACCTTGTGAAGACTTACAGAAAACGTTTGACCTGTGTCATTGCCAACAAAGGGTATATAACAAATTATTGAGAAACTTTTGTTATTGACCAAATACTTATTTTCCACCATAATTTGCAAATAAATTCATTAAAAATCCTACAATGTGATTTTCTGGATATTTTTTTCTCATTTTGTCTGTCATAGTTGACGTGTACCTATGATGAAAATTACAGGCCTCTCTCATCTTTTTAAGTGGGAAAACTTGCACAATTGGTGGCTGACTAAATACTTTTTTCCCCCATTGTAAGTCTTGCATAGTTCGTTTTGTTTCGGTATGTTGCATTGAAAGTGGCTAATATTGCGTTGATTCTATCACAATTCCCACAGTAAACGAAAATGTTGATAGTGTTAACTAAAGGGGAAAACTCTAGAAAGTTGAGTGAAGTTCAATCTTGTGCTTCTCTGCTCGCGCTGATATTTATTAATAATATGCCATTTAGCAGACGCTTTTATCCAAAGTGACTTACAGTCATGCGTGCATACATTTTTGTGTATGGGTGGTCCCGGGGATCGAACCCACTACCTTGGCGTTACAAGCGCCGTGCTCTACCAGCTGAGCTACAGAGGACCACCTTATTCTGGGCAGCAGTCTCGGGGGAGGGAACATTGGCATCAAGACACATCATTAAAAGCAACCTCTTATGTTCCTGGGACAGAACACCAATGCATGACATCCAAAAGTGAGAAAATCACTTTTCAACTGTGCAATTATTGAAATTAGGTTGCATGATGATACATAAGGGTTAATCTTATAAGCATTTGTAAGTGCATTTATAAATGGTTAATAACTAGAGGTAAATATTTGCTCAATATTTAGCAAACACTGACCATTTATTGCACTATTTTGACCAATTCGATATAACATTTTATTAATGGTTTATAATGCATTTACAAATGATTAAATCATTGTTAATAACGTAATTATAACCCCTTTATAAACTCTTTACAAATGGAACCTTATTATAAAAAGTGTTACCGATATGGGATATAGTCCATTGTGTTCAGTTTATGGTAAAATTGTTGCACAAACTCACCAAGTCCTTGCTGACTTTGATAGGGTCCTTGAACACGGTCCAAACCACAGCCTCATTGCAATTTGGAGTGGTCAGGGAGCCAAGGTAACGGTAGTATTTGGTACGGTCCACGCCTTCCAGGAGCTCATCCAATGAAATAGCATGAGTAATGTTTACATACTCATCTAGAGGAAGAGAGAGAGGAAAGCATATACTAAAGTCATATGCTACTGAAATGGAACAAGAACATTTGTCATTTTGAATTCAAAGATAAAAACTCATTACAAACTTTATTTTGAGGAAGGAGTTCTTGATCAAAATCAGATCCAGTCAAATCTCTCCTCTCACCTTTTAGTGTGATGTTGGCCAAGTAGGATGTCAGAGTATTGCAGGCTGCTGATGAACCAGTCACATTACCTGGCATTGCCTGTTGGAAAAAGAGAGACTTTAGTCATAACAAACTGCAATAAAACATTGAAATGCCCAATCTACTGTGGAAAAAGGAAAGTTAAAGCATCCGCTCACCTCTATGAAGAAGCCAAGAGCAGCGAGTCCTGTGCCATCTGCAACGGCCGCAGTCGTGTTACCATTGAGTGAAGACTTGGAATTTACTATGTGCAACTGAAAGTTGAAGCATAACAGTTGATGTGAAAAGTTATCTGAATCCATTGGAAAATTCATTCTGGACTAAGGCTAAAGGAAGACCTTGACATTGATCCATTGCAGTACGTTATAAAAAAAAAAAAAAAAAAAAAAAAAAAAAAGTGTAAAGTGGTTTTCCCACTGGCTATAAGGTGAATGCACCAATTTGTAAGTCGCTCTGGATAAGAGCGTCTGCTAAATGACGTAAATGTGCCCTTGAGCAAGGCACTTAACCCTAATTGCTCCTGTAAGTCGCTCTGGATAAGAGCGTCTGCTAAATGACTTAAATGTAAATGTAAATGTATGTGCATCAGTATGAGAAGTGTCACCACATGTAACATGGGCTACATTAAGATTCTCTACTCTTCTCCTGAAGTGCACTCATACACTTCCCTTCATTAATTTAAAAGGACCCCAGGAAGAGTAGCTGATGCTTCTGCAAAAGCTAATGGTTATCCAAATAAACAAACAAATGTAATGGACTAGTGTTTGGAATATGGTGGAAACTCCCTCCAGCCATGCTCCAATCCATGAAGGGTGGTGGGGTGGTGTGTGTTGTGTTGAACCTTCCCATACATCCATGGGGTAGCGGGTTCCATCCACTGTGTGCGTCGGGTGATTGTGGAGGCCAGGTCATCTGATGCAGCACTCCATCATTCTCCTTCTTGGTCAAATAGCCCTTACACAGGTTGGAGGTGTGTTTTGGGTTATTCACCTGTTGAAAAACAAATGATAGTCCCACTAAGCGCAAACCAGATGGGATGGCATATTGCTGCATAATGCTGTGATAGCCATGCTGGAAAAGTGTGCCTTGAATTCTAAATAAATCACAGACAGTGTCACCAGCAAAGCACCCCCACACCATCACACCTCCTCCTCCATGCTTCACAGTGGGAACCA